GGTCCTGGTGACAACACAAGAACAGGGCAGTGACTTGGTGCCCTCATGGCACAGGTGGCCAGGGGTGTCCTGGACTGCACTGGGAGCTGCCAGCAAGTCAAAGACTCATCCATGGCACCTCTCAGATTAGAGGATTGGTAACTGATTTCCTAGGCTGTGTTTTTTAACCCTCTGTCTTTATTAGCTGTTTATTCTTTTGAAGATTTTCTTCACATCCCCTGGAAGTTTCTGCAATGGTCCTTGATGCAAAGCGTTGTTAAAAGGCTGTGGAAGTCCAGTTGTATGAAATGAACACCTTGCATGCTCCTGCTTCCCTCAAAGTTCACATTTGTGAGATATGACATCCCTCTGCCCATGCTGATTCTTCCACAGTGTCTCACACTTATCCCTGTGTCCACTTATTTTTACCAGACAGTGGTAGAAATATCTGGGTAACTCTTTTTTATTTTATGTCCCAATACAGCCTCTTAAAAATTGAGACTATGTATGTTAGCCATCTCCCAGTCAATGGCAATGAGACCTGGCACTCATCCTTCAGTTCCTTAAGCCTTCTCAAATGATTAGCATTGGCTTTTGGCAGTTTGCTGCTATTCCTTCTGTTGATTCCTCTCTAGGGTATTTTGTTGACACTTCATTTTGAATAATTTCTCTGGTATTTGCCCTCAGGTGGGGAATGTTAGGTTTGCTATGTCATGAAACTTCCATAAGAAATATATAAGTAAAGAATGAGTTTAAATATTCTGTCATTTCTTTATTCCAACTGTCCTCCTTAATCTTGGTGTCAGACTTATTACAGTGTATTTACTATATCTTGTGCCTTCCATGAGGAACTAAATCCTCTTTACCATACTTCTAATGTTTAAATTTCTATTCTTTTATGTTTTCAGCTTTTTCAAGGACATCTTATGTTGATCAGCTGCTTTTACTGCCTGTTTAATCCAGCCTTCTGTTTGTGTGATGTTTCTATAATCTTTTTTGAACAGGTTCTCTGTGCCCAAGAAAAATTTGGTGGCTCCACTCAAACATACTTAATAGTTACCTCCTTGAATTAATTTTATTTTTCCATTTAGCAATTAGGCATTACTGTAGTAGATAGTTTTATCAGTCTTGCAAAGATAATATCCTAACAATTGTCATATTTTTAGAATTTCTGAATTTATTCTGATTGTATTATTACTATTCTGATACTATGGTATGTCAGCACCCTCATTAAAAACATCCTCAAGACTTTAAATTTATGTCCTACAGTGCTTATTTTTCTATCTGCGATTTATCCATTTTATTGAGATGGGATTAATGTACTTATTATCATTAATGAACATTCACTGGAATTACGTTGCAGCAATCTGTGTTCGGGTAGTTGTACTCATAGTTGCTAATAAATATTTTCTTTCTGCTAGATAAATGCTTTGGCAGCAACTGATTTTTCAAAAAGAAAACCAGAAGTGCTTGAAAAACATCCTCTAAATAGTAGAACTGTGTAGCTGGAACATATTCACCATCTCTAATTCATCAGTATTTCACTTAACTAAAAGCTTCTTTTTATCCTACTTGCATTCTATGTTCCTCTGAGAATGAATTTTTACTTGATATGGAAGACATATTGTAGATTTTGCAGAAAAGGAAAATGATGAATTGATGCTCTTGGGATGCTAATTTTTTGTCTGGATTCCTCGTGTAGGTGCACAAGACTGTGTTAAGACTACTTTCCAAGCAGCCTTTAGAGGCAGTTTTAAGGCAGGAGGCTCCACATACTATGGCAAAATTAGTTAATTAATAAACCACAGGATTACAGAGAATTATTTTGTTTAGCTGACTTGTATTTCTGTCATTAGTTTCTATCCAGGGTAAGAAACCCTCATTATTACAACTGCCATGAAACAGCTGTGGCTTAGCCCTTTAGTTACTAGACAGTTGAGGAAATAGATGGATTAAGGATAGTGGGACTATGGGTATATTAACTGTAATTATTTTAAAATAGAGAAACTGCGGGGCTTGTGTGGGATCACAATCTTCTGAGTTGATGCACTGCTACTGACCCTGAGAGTTCATTGCTTTGTCAACTGGCAGAATTCAGGCAAGTACCTGAGGACACTATTTAGAAACCAAGGATTCACAACTACTTCTGGTTCTCAGCATCTAAATTATATCTTATTGAACTGCATCTTCTCTCTCAGCTGGATCATCCAATCTTGCTTTAAAGCAAATCCCACAATCTGTGATGCTTATCTTGAATCTGCTCCTGTAGGATGGCAGCTGTTCACTTGGAGATATTAAGCAGCTTCCATCTGCCTGGAACTGTCTACTGTGGAAACCCAGTTCAGACAATAGTTTAGAAAAGCTCTCTTAATGGGCCATTTAAATTCAAAGCCTTCAGCTTCTCTGAAAAAAGCAGCCTATCAAGCCACAAAAGCATTTTGCAACCAGACTTACGAAAACTGCAGTACATGTAACATGAGTGGACACAACCAGGTTAATACACATGTAATTAAATATTTGTCTAATTTGAGAGCACTGGTGATGCTATATAGGTGTTGGTGTTCCTACAGTGACATTAATTCTGCATAGTTCAGAATAGCTCTGCAGTCTGGGCAAGAGGAAGGTAAAAAGACAGATCTGAAGGGGACTTTGATACAGTCCAAACCAGAAATTTGTGATTAATATAGTCTGCAAGGCCGACAAACCAACAGCCAAAAATGCCAGAAACTATCCTTTCTGTTCAAACTGCTTTGTCTCTATTGCTGTGGACAAGTAATACAGAATGTGTTTAGATGAAATTTCTGCATTTTTTTCTTATGTAGATATTGAAAATCCTCAATGTTGTTGGGAAAGTGACCAAAGCATGAGGAAGGGAGGCAAATTCTCAAATTCCCCAATAAAATCTCATTCATTATGGAGGTGATTCTATAAAGTCAGTATCAAGAGCAGCATGAGCTGCACATACAGGTGCAGCTGCCCTTTGTATCCAATCGTGTGGCTAGGTTAGATGGTCCTCAGGCTGTTTTGGGTCCCTGAGGTGGGATTCAGCCTGTGCTGCTTCATGCCAAAATTACTGCACACCTTCTTCCCCTCTGTCAGTTTCCTCTCATTGTCACCAACTCTCTGAAAATGCTCCTGGTGCCAAATCCAGGGGCTCACAAGCAGCCAGACTGCAGCAGCTCTGCATCCCCAGGTCCAGCAGGAGGTGAGCTGGAGTGTGCATTCCCAGCAAGGCTGTGCAGGCAGTGCACACACACAGGACAGCTGTGGACACACAAACAGGGACAACAGCCTCCTCCCTGCCCCGTTCCTGCTGACCAGGAGGAAGGCCCATGGGTGGGAAGTGCAGCCACAGCTCCAGTGCCCATCCCTCTCCTTGCTGGGCTGGCACACTCAGCCTTGGGCAGGGGCTGCTCCTGGATCTCAGCTTCCCTCCCAGAGACAGGAGACAGACAGACAGACAGCTCCCATCCTCCTCTCACTCCCACTGCATGGAAACCAGGCTCCTACCCTCAGCTGGGTGCTAAAAGAGATGTTCAGAACACATCCCCACAATGCCTCAGCACAACTGAAATACCAAGAGCAAATCCTACAGATTCCATGAATATACTCAATATTTAGTTACAAATGTATTTGATAATCTATCTAATGACATTATACTCTTAAAAAGAATTCAGAAGATTTTCCCACAAAATACAGCAATTTTTCTCATTTGCTGTGTGTCGTGAAAGAGCCCAGTTGCTCTAACAGTCCTTTAGCACACAAGCAAATGTGTGCTTCACACCACCAGCCCCTGCACAGAGCAGGGTGCTTGCCCAACCCCTGGGCATTTTACAACAGCTCCTGTTTATTAACCAAGATCAACTTAACTCCTTTCAGGACAGATTTGATATAATTACAATTATTACCTTGCAGAGTTTTTTGAATAGTATCAACTTCGACAAGATAAAGAGACAAGATCAAGTATTTTAAGGTACTTTTATTTAATAAATAACTTCAGTAATAGCACTGTAAAAAGTGAACATCTGTTAAAATAAAAAGGCACTTAAAACAAGAATATGACTATGATGCAGTTTGAATGGTCAGAGGCAAATATACATGGCACATGTCAAGAATGATGGGTGACTCGTTCACATGACAAACTATGCAATCTTAGCTACAGCGTAAAGGCAAATTTACAGCTAAGACTGCTCCAAAATAAAAAAAAAAAAAAAACAAAAAACAAGAGGGAAAAAAAGCTTGTGTTGATACAAAAATATTACAAAAAGAATCGCAACCAAATACGTTAAAAAGATTAGAGGGTGACAAAGCACCAGGCTGGAAAGCAAAGAAACATTACAGAATAAAGACACAGCATCATGTAAGGCCCTTAGGTGATCTGAGGCTGTCTTGGTAAGGTACTTCATGATACTGCCACCCAGGGCTTGAATTTACAAAGAAAAACTAAGCAAGTTACCAGTCAGCAACTTCTTCAGTAATGGCACATGTTTTAAAGCTATTTTTTCCTTCTTAACATTCTTCTCAAGACCTTTCATTTTAACCATAACCTGGCAATATGCAACTTGAAAATCAAAGGTAAGTATGCACACACTTTTCAGTCTTTTACACTGCTCCCTTCCAGCTCACACAACTTACCAAATACTTAATCATACCCCTAGCAAGTCAAAGACCAATTACCCACCAGCTCCATGCTACATGAATTTAATTACATCTGCAAACTCAAGCCCTGATTTCCCTGTAAAGCTAAAAAGTTTAATACTAAATGGCTAGGCAGAGCCCTCATGCTGATTGCTTTAACCCCTTCCCTCCCAGTCATGCCATGCAGCATCACACCCTGCACAAGACCTGGATTCACAGCATGGGAAAGGGAAAGGTCAGAAAGGCACCATGTGACCTGGGCTGACTAGGCTACACAGTCTCAAGTTTTTTTTTTTTGTCCAACCTCTGGCACCAATTACTCTTATTTGCAAAAAAAAAAAAAAAAAAAAAAAAAAAAAAAAAAAAAAAAAAAATTTAAAAAATTTTGAAAAAAAAGAAAAATAAAAAATTACATATGGTACATTTTCACACAGGAAAACAAACCTATATGTAATGAATTAGTAAAATCACTGCAGTTTGCCCTAAATCTATCTTATTGTGACTACAAAAGTTGCTATACTGCATACAGTGTTGTGAAGTTATACAAGCAGTGTTCATTTTCCCTCATATTTAGGATTAACCACAGTCGTCACTGCACTCTTGTAAATAGGATTTTCACCCTAGAAGAAGAAGAAAAAAAATTATATTAACATTTAAAGATACGAAAAAAGATTCGTTTGCAAGAAGCATAAAAATTAGCGTAAGAAATTACCCATTAATGCTTTGTTTGTACACACAAACAGCTTAAGTCAAACTAGTTTTCCTTCTAGCAGCTTGAACAAAGGCATGCAGAGCTAATAAATAAAGCAAAGGGTTAGCAGGACCCTGTTGCATTTGCAGCACAGAATTCCTTGGAGGCAGCTGAACCTCCCTGGCTCATCTCGGGGCTGAGCCATCACCCAGGGCTCTGCAGCACAGGGCATTTTATAAGGAAGAACAGAATTTAAACATTGTTTGACACCAGGACTGACCACAGACCACATTCTGCTATAATAAACATTTAAATAGGTTATCTTACATTGTAACTGAATTCTAGAAACAACCTGGAAAGACGTCTAGTATTTTGCTAATCACAGTCAATATTTACAGTAAACATTCAGTGCTTGTCATTCTCATTTTATTCCTGCAGGTTTCCCCACCCCTCGTAAGGGCAAAATGTAGAGATAAAACAAAGAAACTTCTGTACTGGTACAGATGCTGTAATAAAAAAGTTATTTCTACTGATACAAGACAAGCCTACAGAAGAATTGCTTACATCTCTCTTGCTGAGATTTAAATTCCTAAATTAAGCTTATTTTAAGCTTCCTTTTTTCCCAGGTTACCTTCTATCTCAGTAAATCTTACTCCATTTATGACATCCTTGCTCACCTCAGATGAACAGCTTGAGCTCAAAATTAACAGATAAATCTTCACAGGAGAAAGGACCACTGCTAGAACAGCCTGGAGCTGCAGCTCTGAGCTCTTAGCACAGCCTGAACCTCAGCCTAAATGAATATTGTCTGCCAGCACGAAGGTCTTCTGTGCACACACAACTGATTCCTGAGAAAACTCAGCTCAGTGCAGATGTCAGCAGAGTGCTGCTCTGGCCAGGGCTGTATCCGGCCTTCAGCAGCAGTAAGGGAATCTCTGTCCCTTCAAAGTTCCCCCCCTAACCGGAGATGGGCTATACAACCATATTAATTCAACTCTATTTACAATATTTCAGGTGAAACCAATTTTTCCTACACTCAATTAAAGGATGCACAAACATCAGGTGTCTACTCTTCAGGGTAATAAACCTGGAAAATCAGCAAGGAATATCACAGAATGTGCCAAAGGCAAGCAAGAACCTGGTGTGGAGTTTTCTCATCCTGGGAAGTTTGCTGCTTTCTGTTTGCAAGGCCCAGCATAGGACCAGCAACTGGTCTACTCCAACAACAGTGGCTGCTGCTGAGGGAGACCCTGCAGGAAAAGGGGATTTCTCCTCAGAGCCAGCTTCTCTAACATGCAAAGAACAAGGAGGCACATCCAATCTTGCCTAGATCCAAGAGACTTGTTCAGCCAGCACCTGGATTGCCAGACAATGGAAGTCAATGTTTTCTGCTCAGTCTTCTCAAGATCTGAGTCAGTGTCACCTGGACAGAGGTGAAGGAGGAGCTGGGTGCTCAGTGCTGGCTGTATTTCACAAACACAGCATAACAGCACAAGTCCCTTCCCCCTTCTATCAGCTCCCAGGCAAATGCTTGATTAAAAGTGTATCACCTACTGCTCTGGGAAGGGATGAGGAGTAACATTTCATTGCGTTTTTTAGATTTTAAATCATGGAAAATCATGTGATGTGGCTAGTTCTCAGACAGACTAATTAATCAATGCAAAATTATGACCTTCCCCAGTATTTTTAGCAAAAGGTTTGCAATAGTAACATGCAAATGAAACGAGAAAAACATCCAGGGATGAGGGATTTAAATCTGGTACTGAAGCAACTCTTTATGTCTCAAAGTTCTTGGCAATGTACATTGCTTATTTCCTTGAGAAGTTTTAATGGAGAATTCTTAAAAACATAAACCAATAAAGTTTATGATGCAGAAGAAGTCTGAAAGCGTAAGAGGCTGCATCATATTCAGAGCAGAAGTTATTGCACAGCTCTTCCTTGGCAAGGCATTATGTAATACTTGTTACAGTGTGCTGTTAGCCTCCAACATGTTACAGAACAGACTCCCCCCAGCACATACAGGGGGTATACACTCACATCTTCTAGCTGTAAAAGAGAGAACTTCTACCAGATAAGTCTAGGAATGGGTCTAAAGGTAAGGACTAAAACCTGGAAATTTGCTAGGTGCTACTCATACAACCAATTTGAACCTGGACTCAGGCTTAAAATATAATCTGCATAATAAGGTTGCAAATTTTCTACTACACAGCTTTTTGACGAGAAGTCAGAATTGGAGTTTTCATGCTCTTGAGTTAGCATAAGCCCTATAAAGAATATTGAAACTGTCCTGTCTTCCCTTGTACTTGCACTTCTCAGAAGCACGCAGTGGGATTTAGGTCACTGGATAAAGCACTTGACTAGCTGTGTCCCCATGTCAGGTCAGTTTCTCGGTACCCATTACAAATAATAGAGCTTTAGTCAATATTCACAACTCTTCAGCTTAACCCAACCTGACATTTGATCATCTAAATGGCTCCTGAGGCTCCACTGCCAATAACTGCAACACAGGCACCTGATGGATCTGCAGGCTCCTTCCCAGCTCTCTTCTGGTGAAGCCCTGGCTGCTCCAGCCACATCCCAACCATCCTGTCTTGGGCCTGGCTTGGCAGGGTCTTCTGCAGACAGCTCTTCATTAAAATAAATATCCACTAATCCAACATGATGCTCCCCTCACTCAGGGCCCCTCACAGCTGGCAGAGGGTACACATTTTCAGACATTAGAAGCATTCCAGTTTTTAAATTGGCTACTAAAACATGGGATTCCAAACTTGCTGTCTTGGACAAACAGAATGGTTTTAAACACTCCGTTTTCTTTATGGCACTAGAGAGAATACACTGGTTTAAGCATGCAGAGTTAGGGAAAACACATTTGCCACATGCCCCTACAACTGAAAACTCCATGCACACTTAAACCAAAATTAAAATTAACAAACAGTAACTATATACAAAACTCAGTGAAATACTGAGTAAAATAAAGATGGAGGTACTTTTAAAAAGTACTTTCAGCAGAGAATAAATTGCTCTTTATATTGCAATATGTTCTTGCAATGATATCCACTTTCAACTAGACTGGGCTGCTCAGAGGACAGCAGTTCAGTCCAGTGTTGCATAAAGATGAAACTATTACACAGGATGTTCGATTAACCTTCTTACTCCTTTTCCTCCAGGGGCTCACTGTTTCAACAGTCACTGGAATTACCTCCACAGTGGGTTTAAGACCTAAGTCACTGTATGGCACAGAATTAAAACTCATGCACACATTGTTCAGGAGCTGGTTGTGATTATTTCCAGCCTTTGCTGATGTCCAGTGCTATTTCTCAGGAACACAGGGCTGTGTCCAGCCCTGCTCCAGGGATGGACAAAGTGAGGCCATGGTCAGGCTTGGCCAGAGGCATTGCCAACCCCATTTCCATCCATCCCTGGAGCCACAAACCAGCATTCATTGTACACAGGAATTGATATGAAAGAGATTGAAAATATGGCATCTCTGCTCCCACACCCAGAGCATGTCCATCATTCAGCAAAGCAATTTACAGGCATAAAATCCAAGTCAGGAGAAGAACAAGTCCCTGCGATTTTGAGCACTTTGAATTGTTTGTGGCTTCTTTTCATTTTAACCAGTAGCTGCTAATAAGGTTAACCAAATTACTACAGACTTAGTGCCTAATATAAATGTGTTTAATGTGTGAAATTCAAGACGACTTAATTTGGAGTCTGTTTGAAGATGCTTAGCAAGGCACAACCTATCCCCATGCAGGAGTGGTAATGGCATTCACTACAAATAGCAGCTTTGTGTTTTAAATTTGTGATCCAGCTTTTCAGTCCAGAAGAAATTAATCCTCAGACTTGTTACAAGCATGACTGCACCAGAGCTTTTATGGCTGACTGGGGTAGAACCTGGGCAAACAGAACTCTGTTTCACCCAGCTGCCTTAAGCACTGACTACCAGGATGCTGTGGCATCATCTTCACCACCTGGGACCAGCACCAGGGAAATATCTGAATACCTAGTCCATGACAAATTCCATGGTGCTGCAGTTCCCTCACCACAGAGCCCCACCCTGTGTGTGGATGATGGCTGTGGGAGAGGGTAATGGCCACACAAACTGCACAAAGTTAATCTGTGTATGCACACACCTGGAGGAAATCCACTATGGTGTAATTTTCATATAATGGGATGTCAAATTACTTTCCTGCCTTGACATTTTAAGGCAACTCTTCATCTAAATGAGAGGCTATGGCAATAGCCTAAAACCACAAGAAAATCTTATCTATAGGGAAAAGCAGGACCTTGTTTTACATCTCATGGCTCACCTACTCTGACAATTCTCACCTCCTCCTTTCTGGTGGTCCGTAAGAATAAACCCACCTCCCTCTCTTGCCAGACTTCTAATATTTCTATGAATACCAAAAATTATAAAGTCATGTTTAAAAAAAACCCAAACCACACCCTTTCACACTCTTAACCTTCACATCTGAGCGAACCAAAAAGGCAGTCAATCCCTCCATTTACACCAGAGGAAAGCTTTTTGCAGGAAATACATTTTGAGAGGAGAAATGGCAGCATCAAGAACATTACATCCTGAAGAGTCACAGGGTAGAGAACAAGAGCACAGAACGGAAGTTACACACTGTATGGTTTGTTAGGTGCTTGTCCTGCATGCAACAGAAAGTACACAATTAAGTGAATGGCAGAAGAACAGGTAACAGAGACTTGACCAGATGGAGTATGTGAAGTGTTAGAAAGGACCACAACCTCAATTTTGTCCCCAGAATAATTGGCTCTGGGAAGAAAAACGAAAAGGTGAATGTGGTTGGTGTTGCAGGCAAAAGGAATGTTTTTTACAATCAATTTTGGACACACTGGAAAGTGAAAAGATTGAAAGAGAAAAGGAAAGTGTATTTCATCAGGAAGAGCTCAGAATGCTACACAAAGTATTTGGAACTGTTATCACAGTGAGAGCAAGTAAGAACTTAAATACTCTCAGTTTCTGCTTTCTCCCCTTATTTTTCCTTTACAAAATCTTTTGAATGCAACACTGAAAAAGGGAGACAGTATAAAATTAGAGATACAAATTCTTCCCTTCCACTGGCTTCTGAAAAGGATGTTTAATGGATGTGCTGCATTCCCAGCTTCCTCACTCCCCTCCCTCTAGTCTCATCTCTGCACTACTTTCTCTTAGTGCTCTTCTGGCATCCATTCCCCATGTGAGCCTCCCTTTGAAGCCTTCCCCAGCAGCTGGGGGTCCCAGGGAGAGAGAACACCTCAAACACTCAAGGAAGGGCAATCAGAGTCTGCAGAAGGTATCTACTCATCACTTCTGCTTCACTGACTTCCTCTCCTGGATACTGCTGTTACTTCTGATGTGTTAGGTGTGAAGAGAACTGAACTCAGCAATTCCAATCAAATGAGCTGCTAAGGCTGAGTTTAGGAGGGAATAAGAAACGGAATGAAAAATGCATCTAAAGGGGACAAGAATATTTCCTCATGTCCTATTAATGTTTCGTTTCTATGGACACCCTAAAGCTGGCTAGGCTACAAGGACTATGATACTGCCAGTTTCAATAGAAATAAGGTACATATTTAATTATAAAATTAGTAGGGTATATGCATTTCATACCTTAATTATAGACTAAGTCTATACTAGGTTAATAAATCAAAGCAGTTTACAAAAAAAAGTAATGCTACTCTGCATGTTCACAGAGCTATTCTAATAAAAACAGTGATATTTATAGGCTGGGATATTTTAGGAGTATCTAATCTATCTTAACAAAAATATTGATTTTAAGGAAACTGACTGCTGATTTGAAGAAATAGAAGACAATGCATCCCTTGTGTGTCTCTCTACAGTCCAAAAATATTCTTCTAGTTCTAGGAGCTGTTCTATTATGTATCCACACATCTACAAAAAAAATGTTAAAAGCACTTGTAGAATAGTTTAAATCAGTACTGACAGTATTAGTAAGTAAGCAATCTCGCTGTCAAAACCAGTTAAAAATTTTCAAGCTGCATTCTTGAAAACCCCACAATCAAAGCAGCAGTAGATACACTGAGCAAGACTCAAACTGTGATTAACTGATGGTGACACACAGTGAGTTTGAAGTGACATGCAAAGGGGGGAAAAAAGGAAAGAAAATGAAAGGAGATACAAACTGAGACTTAGAGACCAGCTTTACGTCCATAGTTTGGATTCTTGAAATTATTAATAGGGCTCTTGTATATTGGATTTTCTTGCTAAAGTAAAAGAAATGGTCAATATCGAATAATTCAACAGGAAAAATAAAGCAACATTCTCAACTATCACTGAAAAAAAATCATGCCATATATGAAGTGTTAGTAATTTTTTTTCCCAGTACGAGATTAATCTATTTTCTTAAATAAAACCAAAAGGCTTCCTAGGACAATTAAAATAAAAAAATTTCTCATCAAGCACATGGGGACATGGACTTCTACAGAACTGTAGTGAGGGGCTCTTGATTAGCAGACTCCTGACATTGCCCAGAGGCAGCGACTCCACAGTCTATGAAAGCCTAGACCATAGGCTTGTTTTTCTTGCACATTTCTCTGTTGACAAAGAGCTGGGAAGATTTCAACAAACCAGCACCAGCCATGATTTTGTGACTTTATGGAAGTTTCCCAATTAACCCTGTGTGAGTACTCACAAGACTTCCTCAATAAATGCAGAATTTTCTTCTTTGCTTTCTACAGAAGTGACTCATCTTTGTAACAAATGTTTTAATTGTATGTTGTAAAGCATGGTGGAATTACAAAGCTGAACTGTTCTGTCACCATCACATTTCCTCTCTGAAATGTTATTTAAACCCGAGTTACTACTCTCTTTCCTGCCTCAAGAAATACTTCTCTAAGAGGACTGGTTATAATCTGAAACATTTTAAAGCATATGAACTAAAAGCTTCTATTTTTCCTCCACTACTGCAGCTTTTATACATAGAAAAGCTTCTCGACTCACCGTATCCCACTTGGCATTCATCTTCTCCTTTTCAAATTTAGCAAATTCTCTTCTGTCATGAATGATCATTAGTAGTTTCCAAATCAATAATAATGCAAGTCCAATGAGAACAATTCCAGCAACCACACCAGCTACAATGGGAATGATGTCAGGACCGCTGGGGCACTCTGGGGAACAAAGCAAGGGAAACATGATTTTATAAAATGGTAAAGGTCATGCATATGCAGAAAGCTGTTAATGTCTGATTTTGTACTGAAGCCAGTATTTTGAATATCAGACATGCCAACAGTACTTTTCTTTCAAATAACAGAATTTTTGGAGTATGTACATCCTGTAACATTCCAGCTTATTTTTATCTTTCTAATTTGTGTTTGATCTTAGCAACTGAACCACCTGTTCTGATGATAAAGTCTATACACTGCTAACCCCTTTAAGCTTCTTATTTACAGTATTAAGAGTAAAATAACTGGCAATTGTATTTAAACATGAGAGAGCTCCAAGTCAAAGCTGTGGGAACTGGAGCACAAAGGCCAACCAGCAGAACAGGCCTCACCTACAGAAACAGAATATTCTGAGTTGGAAGGGACCCACAAGGATCATTGAGCCCAACTCCTGTCCCTGCACAGGGAAGCCTCAAGAGTCACACCATGTGCCTGAGAGCATTGTCAAACACTCCTTGAACTCGGTCAGGCTCGGTGCTGTAACAGCTTCCCTGGAGAGCCTGTTCCAGTGCTCCGCCACCCTCTGGGTGAAGAATCTTTTCCTAATATTCAACCTAAACCTCCCGTGGCACAACTTCAGGCCATTCCCTCATGTCCTGTCACCACAGAGATCAGTGCCTGCCCTTCCTCTTCCCCTCACGAGGGAGCTACAGACTGTGATGAGATGCAAGGTGATTTAAAGTGGCTGACACAGAAATCATAATTCCCCAAATTAATATCCAACTCCACTGTTAACATAAAATTCCCAATGATCACAAATTGAAGAAAGGCTTTTGCAGAGCTCAGTGCACAAACTGAAGGAGTCAGAAGCAAATTAATGCAAGTCCTGTTCAATAGAACAACTGTGGATAGAACACAGCTTCCCCCACGCTGCAGATTCCCTGTCTTCAGAGCTGCCTCTGCAAGAGTGAGAGAGGTGGGAAGGGACATGACAGGAATTCCTTGGGAGCCAGTAAGGAACAAGTGTGTGTTCCACAGAACACAGCTCTACTGGCCAGAGCTTGTTCCTTCAGCATTTGTATGGCACAATTTAAGGTGCCTCCTTGTGCACGATGGGCTTGATTCACCTCTCAGCTAAGGCAGCAGAAGTTTATACATGAAGAAAATGTCAGCCCCCAAAACCATAGGGCATGCATGGCTTGTCCTAGGAGACAGAGCTCCTCTATACTGTGGACTACTTCTGTAGAGAATTTAAAACATTCCGAATTGAAGCAGTATTTATTTCTAAGAGCTACTAGACACTGGACTGTGTTAAGTCATGATCATCAAAATGATCAATTCCGAAAACTCCTCAAATATGTAATACAGCACTAAATCTCTATGATATGCATTATCCATCAGGTTCTTAAAAATCAGGAGACCACAAACTGCTAATGTACAGGACCATAAATTCTGCACTGTTAGATGCAATATCCAGTGATTCAAACTAAAAATACTCTTGGGTAAATAAATGGTAAATTAATGATGGAGCTATAGAATTGTTCTCACTTTTTTTTTGATCTATTAAGGATTAACTAAACAAAATGATTTTGGGATCTATTACTGAAGGTACCACAGTCAAGTAAAAGCAAAGGTTCTGAGCATAAAATAATTCAAGCAGTTTGCAGCATAGTACACAATTTCATGTAGACTGATTCAAAATTATTAAGAAAAGGAAAAAGGAACAAAACACTACAGACATCATTGTTTATAACCTGCTGCAGAAGCCTAGTAAAAAAAATTATCAAAATTTATCTAAATAGGACTTGCTACAGGAGAGATAAAATAAGCCTTAGAGTACATCAAGTGCAAACAGGAAATGTTTCAACAAATATACATATCTGATTTACCTTTTGTTTTTTTAAAAATAGAATCTGTTTCTATCAGCCCATGGGTTTGAAAAATCTAGATCTAGGGAAACATATTTTTCTAAAGCCACTCAGACATGCACAACTGTCACTCGGGGAACAGGCACCTGTTTCTGAATGATTTTAACTCCCCCAAATCAACCGGGGGCACTTTGTAGCACCCAACAACTGCACAAATTAACAACAAAGAAGGAACAGGCAACATCGTGTTCCTACCTGGGGTCTCCACCACGTGGACATGGGCTTCACCATTTGAGTTGACAGAGTAGGTGAAGTAGAACCAGCAGTCATCAACATCCTTCTCTTTGCAGTGAGACAGGGGGTCGGGCTGGTTGGGCTGTGGCAGCTTCTCCCGGCTCTCCACACGTGTCATGTTGAAATACATGCACTCCTGGGAACACGTCTCCTTCTTCTCTCCCTTGTCGAAAGCTCTGCACTGAATGCAATCCCTGGGCAAGCACAAAACAGAAACAGTGCTTTTCAATGTCTTCGTGGAAGATATCTAGCATTTAATCTAAAGAAATTTTAAGGAGAAAACATAGGGGAAAAAAAGTCCAAGAAAACCAACCCTTTTGCCATAAAAGTTAGAGAAAAAAATAAAGCAAGACATGGCTTTGTACCAGTCAGAACATTTATACACCTTGAGATTAACAGAAGCTCTTTTCATAAAGTCCTCTTTCCCTGAATGACCCACAGGCTTCAAGGACAGAAAAAGCCTTTTCAACACCTCTACCAGGGAAATGAACACTCTCAGACAAGGCACTGTAAGAACAGGGTATTTACAGTGGAACACACACAGGTTAAAAAGAACAAACTCATGACAAGCTTTACAGTGGGGTATCACTGAATAATTCATTGAAAAAAAGCAGACTGAACAGGATTTTTATATTAAAAAGATGAAGGTTTTTTCTCAGCACACAGTGAGTTGCACAAGAATCTGCTCAGCCACTAACCCTAAACTTATTTCAAAGTTTTCATGCAGAAAATGCTAGGTTTCTAAAAACCTGAATTTCCAAAGGGAAGGATACTAATTACACTGGCCCACACAGGGATAGGTTTAGATTTTGACTGCCAAGTTAGTAGTTCCAATAGTATTTCTTTTAAGCAAAAAGCTTAGCTGAAGTTTTAACTATCAAAAGCTTTGTTTTAAAAATCCTCACGTATCACAAATTCAAAACGCACAGAAGCTGGGGCTTGGTTTTCTGGGTACGTACTTGTGCTCTGTACAGACACCGAGGCAAGTCTGACACGTTTCACACGTGGGGCCTTGGAATTTGGGATCTGTACAGTTACAGGTGCCACATTCACAGGTTCCTCTTCCATTGCAAATCTGCCCATTAGATGCCATACACGGTGTAGTATCCAAAGAACAATCGCAGGCACTGCCAGTGAAGTTGGGGAAACACTCGCACACTCTGCACTTGCAGATTCCGTTTCCTGTGCAGTGGAAAGGTATTGCAATGAAATCAACTCTAACAGAAAAAAATCTGTGACAGTGAGAAATAAATGTTCACCACCTCAGGGTAGATGAAAGAAAAAGAAACCATGGTAGTGACATAACGAAGACTCTAATGAAATAAGAGGTACAAATTAAATTTTAGCTCCTTGAAAGACTACTTGCAGGCATTTGTCCCCTTTTCCCATTCTCCTATACATTTGCATTTCCTTTCATAAACAAAATAACAAGACTCGGGAATATCAGATCAAAAATAGTATAATGTGATGACCATATCCCCTGCATGGAGAGCACTACAGCACTGCTTCAGTTCATAATCTTGTGTGCATACAGACAAATTGACCGCTCCTGTCTTCACATCTATCACTATACAAATGTATAAAGCAAGACTTAAAAAGATGAGGAGTGCACTAACTGTGTATTGAAAACACAGAAAAACAGAACAGCTTTGGCTCCACAGGACACCACTGTTCAGCTGCTGTACTTCTGACCTCACACTTCTGACCCACCCCAACTTCACGCTCCTTACACTCTCTGCACAAGAAACAAGATGCCTTTATACTGATCTCGATGACCAGGAAAGATCTTTTCCTACACCCTCCTCCTCCAATGAGAATCAAGTGTTTCAGCCAACACTTTCCTGCCACTGTGTATTCTGGAACATCACCACCATTGCTCCCATCCTTTGTGGAGCAATAGTGGATTCTGACCAAATCAGACAAATGAGGTATTCTCATCACTCAGTTAGAGCTAATGGCTTCTCTGTTTTATTTCTGTATCACAGAAAACACTACACATAGTAGTTATACTCCTACTGGATACTTCCACACACAAAGCAGCAAAATAATTTAGACACTGGCTGCTGAATGGTTTTTTGAATTGCTTTTGATTTCAGGAATTAACTATCATCGAAGTTTTACTTCAAGTGCTTAAGGTGATTCTCTGGATTTTGAGGATTCTAGTCTTCACTTACCTTTCAGAACAGTGTCAAGCACTTCACTGGTGTCCTGTCAAGCACCAGAGAAAAGCACTCGCTATTACAAGTAAGCTGAGGGCATTGTCTCTCTCTATTGACACAGTGGTTACACTGAGCCAGTATAACATTACAATCTCTGCACAGATGTCTCAGCCTTCTTTACTGTAATACCTGAGGGTAATTCTGCAATAAACAGCAGAAGTCAAGTTCACCCCAGGACAACTTTACATCCTTCTTGGAGCTGTGATTCAAGGAAGGTGAAATGTGCATTAACAGACTACATTTCACAGGGCTGTTTTATTAATAGACAAGTGTTTGCAATCACTAAATCTGTGAGTATCCTCATCTCTGTTATCAAGTGGCTTTGATCTTTACCTAAGTATGCCTACTCTGCTGGGTAAAGAAGACAGACTTGTAAACTGCTGACCAGCTTTGCCTGCAGAAAGCTGAAGCACCTCTCACCTCCACAGATTAAACCATTTGATCGATCACAGTTGAAGTTGTCACATTCACAGTATTTGCCAGAATACACTTCATTGGTGTTTTCCCTTTTCTTGCACACACACTGTCCACAAATGCATTCTCCATTGTTACTGCAGATTTCTGTGCTGTTCTCCCTCCTGCAGTAAGCATCCATATCCTCACTATTTACTTCATCTGTGCTACATTCACATAGTCTTCCAATACGTCCTTCATTACATCTGCAAGGTAAAAAACATGACTGAAAATGTAACCTTAATTGAAAGTCACACAAAAAAAGGCCACAAGAATAGCACAAAGAACAGAGTAAAAGTGGAGGAGTAAAAAAAGTGGAGGAGTAAAAGTGACTACCCTCTCAAGGGACGTTCCAACTTAAACTTCAAATGAGGTTTCCAGATAACATCCATGTACCAGGCACTGGAGCAAACTGGACTAAGTATCTTTTATGCTGATTATATTACCTGATATTCCAGGTGAGAGGCTGTGTCACTCCTCTAACTAAACTGTCACATAATCATTATTAATCCCTCTCTCATGTGACAGAACAATCATTATTTCTCAAGTGACAGCAACTGTTCCTGTAGCTGCTGTCGTATTTCAATAAAAAGGTTTCCTATGAACAGCAATTAAGCAGGAGAGTAGATGATCTTCAGAACTGCCAAACTGAGATCTTCAGGGATCATCACTTCTCATTATCAAGGGTAAGATATTGATGGGGAAATGCAAGTTGGTCTTGTTCCCATCAGTGACTGACAGACTGTTACGTGGTGTCCATCAGAGACAAGAGATCATTGGGAAACTGCTGCATTTACAAAAACAAAAGGCTGTGCTTACCCACGGCCTGCTCTTGCCCACATGAAACCAATAGAACACCAGTGACAGTGACACCAAGTATAAGAAGTTCTTCTATACATAAATGGGAAAATCTATTCTCTTTATTTGAAAAGGAATACCAAAAACTGATCTATATCCTTTCAAGTGACTCAAGGTCAAATCTGAATTCTGACTAATACAATAATGCTGATCTAATGATCAATATTTAAGCATAGGGATTATTTGCAGAGATATGCCAGTATTTCAGAGTATCCTAAAAATAACAGGCCTGTAACAGCAATTCTTGTTCTTTCACGAAAAAAAAATTAGCAAACCCAAGTAAATCCTAATGGAGGAAACAAAGATCTTGATCATATTTCCCTTTTGCAAAAATAAAGAAAATGTCTATTTATTTACCTGCACGCACCACATTCAAATGTTCCATTTCCTGCGTGGCAGGCTGGACTATTAGGCTCTCCTTCACTTTGACACTGACACTCACAGATGAACTGGAGATTAATCTCCACTTCTTCAGTGAATCCTAGTGGCTTAATTTTAATTGTTTCATTTTGCTCCTTCTTTGGACATTCATTAGCTGTTATATTAATCTCAAATGTAACCTGCAGAAAAAAAAAAAAAGAAAAAAGTGTCGTGTTACTAACAAGGAGTTTTTTCTGTACTATTAAAAAGAAATGCTGTGTTGGACACTAAGTACGTTTTGTATCTAAGCAGCAGCAAAAACCTGAGTTACCTCATCTCCAATTGAAATGTTAGAACACTTCCTTCCATCTTCTTGTGTGCCATTCACTCCATTCTTGCAGAAAGACTTGTAACTGATTGTCACTCCTTTTGGTAGCTTAGTATTTTCCAGGATAACCTCTGAAGAAAGAGACTGAAACAGCAGTTATTACCTAACTTCAAACTGAGTTGCAGAAGTGTTTTGTCGAAGAACAGACAGTGTACAACTATGCCAAGTCTAAGCACCAACCCCACAGGCACACTGGAATTATTTAAGTTCCAATGTGCTGAGAAACACCAGCCCAGGGCTGCCCAAAGTGTGGTGACCCCTTCTTATGTCTGAACTTGTTACAAGGTCAGGACAGGTTTCCACAGATGTTGAAGGCATTTGTTTACCCCATGTACTCCAAAGGAGACATGAGGCTCATTTACACACAATGCAGCAACAAAGAACATATTGTGGGGCCAAACCCACCAAATGGCCTTTTTTGCTAACACTTGGAAAAAAGGTAAAAGTGAAGAAGCTGAAGAAACAGTGCGGGTTTTGGTTGTGAATTTTATTTTTTGAAAGGGAAAACGTGGATGGTAATTTCTCTTTGTAATGCCATTTTAAATATCTTTAAGAGCATGTCACCTTTTTACTCATCTAACCTCTTACTGTCATAGAGCCTGAATGTTTAGTATGGTTTCACAGCAATGGAGTATATTTATAGTGTAGAATACTAACTAATACACCTTGGAGTCTCTGCTTGAAAAACTTAAAATCAAGAAAAATTAATATGTAAAATCTGAACTTACATTGTATGCATCAATGATCAGCTGAATCACATTGCTGGAATTTGAAGACAATGTTCCCACTGCTGATTTCGGTATCAGATTTTTCAGTTCCTTTCAATATTGACAAAAACAGAAGGAAAAGTACAGTCTTATTAGCAAACAAAGTATAATTTGCAGTATAAATAGTGATTATATGTGTTAGTGGATTAACTAGTCCAGTACTTCAGAAAACAAGGCTGTGTTGGTAGTGATGAACACATTTTTTGAGGTTATACACAGCCCAACTAGCACAAACAAATATTCAGCTTTTTCTTATCCTTTTCATTTTAACTCTGCATTTGGTAACAGAATACTAAGCCCTTCTCTTGTACAAGCTGACCACAATCTCTCTTCAACCACACTTAGAATACATTAAAAATAGGCAGGCATCATTTTCCAACAAAAAAACCCCAAAAAACCAATTTGAATACAGTTTAAAAAAGAACCCCAAAACCAAAAAAACAGGTTAAAAGAAGGAAAAATATGCATGTCCTTTACACAGTCATTTCCTATTGCACAATCACATCCAGCAGTTTAGTTAATTTTAAACATGGGGTATATAAATAGAGCACAAGAAACATAATATGTTCTTTCATAAGTGTGTCCCCCGATTCAGTGTCCACACCCCCCTCAGCTATTTTGCTGTAAAAACGCTCACAAAAATTAGAACTGCAAATGTGTTCTCCACTCACTCATACCTACAAAGAGTAGTAAGAAGGGGCACTTTCTCACTGTAAATTACAGTGTCAGTTTTGATTTAAAGAAATAAAAAAAGCTTAGTAAGTATGTATGTGGGTAGCAAAATATTACTTCCACAGTTACTTTAATTTCAAATAAGTAAATTTTAATGACTTCAGAGTAATTTCTTTACCTTATAGACTGCCTGAAACTCTTCAGTAACAGCAAAGATTGTCTGAATATTGTTCTCACTAAGTTTCTGTACCAGATGAGCAATGGAGGGATAATCCTAAAAAAAAAAGCATAAAATTAAATTCAAATTTGTTGCTAGAAAATAATCATAAAGACTCTAACATCATAAATACAAATCATCTTTAGAAACACACATTCAACTCCTAACTAGCCAGCTCATGTCACAGTTCTAAAGCAAAACAACCTCTGAAAACAAACAGGCATTGGTAAGATTTCATAGATGCCTTGTGAAGGTAAGTGTTTATTCACATGGACATTATCACATTCCATGCCATATAAAAGGTTAATTTTCTGAGAACACTGAGATTAAGGATTTATCTTCAGTTCCTCAAAACCACTACTTTTTGCACTGTTTCACAAATAAAAAAACTGAATTAATTTTAGGTTTTATTGAAAAATTTTCACTAAAAGTTAGGAATATATGAACATATAAACTTGGTAAAGCTTAGTGTGGTTATCTCATGTGGTAAATGTTTCTCTTTGAATTTTTTTGTCTGATTTCCCTTCCAGTAAACCATGAAGGCAATGTTAACCATACTCTTACCAGAAACTTTGCATCATAAGATTTCAGTCTTAAAATCTATTCGTGCTGATATTTTACAGTATTTTTCACTAGCAAACTATTACTAAAAATAAAGAAAATGAAGACTGGTGAAATGATAAAATAATAAAACAGCCATCACAGTTTTCCAGTAGACATACAAGCCCATCACTTAGAAGTTGGACTCTATGACCCTTGTGCATCCCTTCCAACTCAGAATATTCTGTGATTCAGTGTGGCATACAGGATTATTAGTCATCAAAAAGGTTAAAATCCAGCAATACATAATCATAGCATGAAAGTTGCCATTTCTTTAAATTTTCCAGTTGAGACTGAATTAATTCTTGCACATTTGCTTTAGTTTAGCTAAAGTCACTTGATGTAAACCAGGTAAATTTTCTAATACATAGTGGTCTGAAACTATACCAGATGATCCAATGAGTTCTTTTAAGCTTAAGCATCATAAAATATTGAGTTCCCTAGAAGATGATATAAAGACTTACGTAATAGTGGCTCATTGTGTACACATTATTTTCCAGATGACATTTCCCATCATTTGGCAGAACAATTCCACCAAGTTTACCATCTCCTGCAAAGTGGAATCCAGCATCCGTGGAAAACACTAATAGTCTTGTAACATTCCTCCAGCCAATTTGTTCCTTGGGAAAAACACAAACAGATTTTTGGTATTTTGTACCAACTTATTTTAAAGCATTGAGAACCAACACTTGATAGAGAAGTGCACGTAAAAGTAGACAGACTTAGGAGAAGCCACACTGCAAAAGTGTTGCCCTGGAAAACATTAATTCATGCAAACTTTGGGAACACTTGTATTTCATTAAATGTCTGCTCTTTGCACCCAGCACAGTGCTTGCCAGAGGACTGGCCCATGAGCATCCTGACTCACAACTGCAGAGCCTAATTATGTAAACTGCCCTTTCCTATTTTTTAAAATTTTTCCTTGGAGCTGAAGCCCTAGCTAATTTAATGAAAGAAGACCATGTAAAAGTGTCATATACTAAGTTACCACCAAAAAAACCCTAGAAGGCTTATGATAAACACTGCACTTTTAAATCAAAACTCCAGATAATTTCAGAAAATCTTGAATCCCTTGATGAACAGCAAAAATTATATGGTAACAAAGCAATAAACTTGGGTATTGGGTTTTGGGAGACCATTTTGTACAGGTGCATAGAACAGTCCATCAGAATGATGGAAACAAAGAATCCTTAGGCAGTCAAAATAAGTAAAAAACAAATTTTCCACTTACTTTCTGAGAAACTAGTAGAAGTCACAATAGACCAAATTTCTACAACCACAAGAAGCTTACAGACCTTTAAAATAATCTGAGAAAAACTGCTTACTCAGGATCTCATACACTTTTAAGCAGAACCTGACTCTTCCTCTACAGCAAACTTTAAAAGTGTTGTCTCTATGTGCTGTGATCACGACCTCTGTTCACCACCTTCACATTTCCCAGTTTCATTCTCTCACTGAATTCTTCCTCACCTACCTTGTCTTGCTCGCAGGGGGTGGCATTCAAATGCCATAAAACACTAAGGCTGCAATCACACAATTTTATCTAATAGAACAATAAAAAACCCAAAAAACATATACTCACCCCACAAACTGCAACCTGCATTATTGCATCGAATCCACCTTCAGGAGAATCCAAGTTCCCAGAAATGTGCTGTTTACCTACAAGTTCATTGAATTTGTTTCCTTCACTGGTAAGGCTGAGCACATTTTTATAGCTAAATGGACTTGTACAGTTCTGGTCCCCTGTACAAGGATTTCTCAGTTTGGCTGGTGTTGTACTAATATAAGGCATGACAGTTTTCTCCACAAAAGAGCCAAAGCCTAAGAAAAGAACAATAAAATCCCTGTAAGTTGAAGAATGGAATCTCATTTCTATTATCATACAACAGAATTCAAATGCATTACAGCTGAACTGACATCAGAAATAGGTCTTATACTTGTTTATATCCCACCTTCTCCACCAATGCCAAACACTTTTATGCTGTTCAACAGGTCCTATGTATTAGAACATCTGCCATAATACTGCTAAATCGAAAAAAAAATACTTTTCATATACAATCATGTGAAAAACATCAGGAAGGAAACTTGGGAGGTTTCATTATTGTTTTTTTTTTTAAATAGGCAAATCTTTCTTACCAATCCGAAAGTCTGAAGTTATTTTTTCCATCTCTAACATCAGAGCTGTTCCGAGACTTTTCACATTTTCTAAATCATCTTTCATAGAATAGGAGAGGTCCATAAGATAATAAAGGTCGATGGGGTAGTCTTCAGCTCTCTTGAATGTTAATGAAAATGTCTGGGGTTCCCCTGTTTCAGACATTGAACAACAAGCAGAAAACATTAAAAATTCCATAACTGCACTGGCAAGAAAAATGCCTTTCTAAGGAAAGGCTTGTAAATCCTTATGAAGGTTTTGAATTACAGGTGAGTTATGTTTTCTTCTGTTGACTGAAACGTGTAACATCAAATTATGATTAAATAAATGTCAACAAGTACTTCTTTTAAATGTTCAACTTAATATTTCTGAGGTACTTTATCTCCTCACAGAAGAACTAGCATGCCAAAACCCAAGCTTCTTGTAGTTGCTGCAATTTCAAATCTTCATACTTGCAATCATTCTAACAAGGTTCCCCTAAGACCTAAGGACAGATTTTCAACATCTATTTTCATCCAAGATGACTCCAATAATTCTCAAAAGTTAAAAAAGCACATTGTTTTGAAAAAATAGTTATCGATGGAATATTGTGAGTTACTTTGAATCTACCAAGCTTAGAGCACAGAAATAGCAGTGAGAGAACAGCAAGTTTGTATTTGCTGTGATTGGAAGCCCAGATCCTGCATTTTACCTACAGAAGAGTGTTGTCTCACTCTGATGCTGAAAGGCAGTGGAGAAGGATTACACACACATACCACACACCTCCTTTCCAGAAACTGGAACAGTATTTTTTTTGCCTATTTTATATGAAATAAGGAATTAAATCAATAGGAATTCCTGCTCCCCTCAGTCATTGAGCTTAAATGGTAGTATTGCTGCTACTTAAGTTCGCTTAATCATTAGGAAACATTTGCTAAACATCAGCAAAATTAGTAAAGCAAGAAAAACATTAAACAGGCAAGTTGAATAGCATACGGAGCACACAGCTATATAACATGGTTCTCACAAAAAAATCCCAAACAACAAAACAAAGGGGGAAAAAGCCTTAACACAAAAAATCCAGCACAAAAATCTGTTTGGATCTTCCTTAGCTAATATTTCCAAAAGCCTGCACAGAAAGCAAGTATACAGTCCCTCAGAGAGCTTATATACCAATGGAAGTGCTTACAAACATCTTTTGGGTAATTAGATTCTGGTTGCCCTGGTCCCTGCTATGTTCTGATGAAGAAACTTCTGTGTCAACAGAGGAACAATAATTTGGTTTGAAGCAAAAAAGTTCACATTAGAAATAAATAGGAGCCATACCAAAACTGCAAAATAATTTTCATTACTTTCCTCTCTACGTCATGCTGAGATTGCTTCACATCACCTTCCAATTATTACTGCAACTACCACCAAGCAGCTGACCTCAAGTACAAGCTCTTCTTCCAGGAAAATACAAGGCAGCTGTTCAATGTGTCTACAGTACCTAAGAACTCTCCTTGAGGACAATCTCCATTGTGCTCAAGTGAGCCACTAGCCCTATTCCTCCCTGTCCCCCCTATTTGAATGAGATGAAGTTCTCTTTAGGGGCTGAAAGTGGTGCACAACTACTTTGTTTTTCATTAATGTGGTTCTGTGTCCACATCTTTAGCCTCTGGAAGGTATTTTATGTAGCAATCCAAAAATTGTGCTGCAGAACTACAAAACCACTTTGTTCAGACATGCTGACTTCAGGCAACAGCAGTAAGCAAAAGGAAATGCTCTCATAACTTAAAGTTTTTGCTGACTCTTCGACTTTCATCCTACAGGCACAGTGTAGAAAATCAACTACAAAATACTGAAAACAAAACAATTGTACCTTTCTGATATATCTAATAATCCATGCTGTACCAGCTTTCTCCTAAGTCCTATTGGGAAAATAGAACAAGTGATAATATTTAATCTTTCTTAAAAATCAAACAGTATTTAGAGTACCTAAACACCTGGAGCTGAATTTAATGGCTCCGCTATCATTCACATTATCTGAAAAATAGTAATTTCTGTATAAAATGGTTACACATGCAAATCAAAAAATGCAGATGTGGTGGCGACAGAAAAATCATCCCAAAACTGGAACGAAACTGTCCTTACCGACTCTTAGATGCAGTGATAATTTCTGTGGCTGGATCTGTGTAATGGCTTCTGGTTTCAGCTTCTCTGCAGCACCTTTCTTACGATTTGTTACTTCTCTATTTTCAAGCAGCTGTTTGCTGCCTCTGGGATTTTCTATATCTTCCATAGGGCAGCCTTTACTCTTCAGTGCTGCCAAGTCATCACACCGGGCAGATGTTGGCTCTCCTTCTTGCAAAAAGTCCTAGAAAACACAGCTGTAAACTTGATACTCTTTTGCCTATGTGCAAGTTGTTATATTTTACTCACAATTGCTCTTCCTATAATGATCACAATTTTTTTTCCCCCCCAGAGCTCAGTAATAAAACACCTGGTCTTGAAATACATTAAATGATACTACATACATTCAGTGACTACTATTTACTCCAGGAGTTTGCATCTACTTATACTTATCTGTGTATAAGATGCAATTAAGAGGAAAAAAAATTAAGCTCAATGCCCTCTCCATCAGAAGCAGGACATCTGTTTAAATTGCCGACTCTAAAAGTGACTGCAAGTAGAAAAACCTTTCATTTTCACATAGTTATCAATAATGCGAACCTATATATTATACAGCCTGCTTTTAACATTCTTTCCTTTCTAATTAAGACTATATAAGTGTACCGTGATACTCCACAATAAAGTAATAGCTATTTGATGACAGCAGGGCAAAGACAGAGAACTCTTATTTTGGGGAAACTTAATCTGAAAGTAACACCCATAAGCAAAACCAATCCTTAACTTTGTTCTGAACAACAAATTATCATTACTTCGAACCTTAAAAAAGCTCTAACCTCAAATATAATTAAATAAGGCTTCTAATTGAGAAACTTGGCAATTCTGATTCTGCCCCTGTCCCCAAAATATGCATATAAATAAATGTATACAAAAGCTTGTCAGTTATTGGTGACACAGACCTACAAGAAATCTGATAGCTTAAAGCCAAATTATAAAATCAGTCAGTTTAATGTTGCAAGTTTATGGGCTGGTTTGGGGAGGCAGTAAGTAAGTAGGCAACACATAGAAATAAAGATAAATTATCACCTCCTAGGAAGAAACAGGAAAATTTCTCCGTTTCCAATAATAAACCAAGGAAGAGCTATAGAAAATATTTTCTTCTGTTTCTAACCCGAAGAAGATATATCAGCATACACTGGTTATATCTTATATTTTGTAGTTTCCTGAACTTAATCTTTCTTAACCTAAGAACATACCCTTTTTGTTTCATGAAACAAGCTACCCACCCACACAAACCTATGTCCTGCTCCTCAAGTCTACCAATAACAGAAAACTAAAATTTGAAAATCTATCTTTTAGAAGAAAATTCCCCTTCAATCTCTTTCCCTACCCCACCTACATCTGTCAAAAATTAGCTCTTACTTTAATGTCACTGGAAGAATATAATTAAGCATACTTAGATTCCACATTGGAGTAATTTTAAATAACTGTGAGACAGCCTATAGGGTCTGTATACACTTAGGATTTAGAAAAGGAGAAGTAAACACATTGTGAAAAACATCTATACTCAAATCAGGAAAATCATAGCATTTGATTTTTAAAATACAGATAAGCATCGAATTGTAGAACTGAGGAAACTACTATTCATAAAAACAGACTTTTCAATACGGGTAAACTATTCACTAAAGTTTGAAATCAAAGGGGGAAAAAAAACATAAAAAGATTTCTGCAACACTTACTGTTTTTTTACACCAGCCACAGTTTGGTCCTGCTTGTATACATTCCCCACATGACTTTGCATTAGCTTTTATGCAGTCGCTTCCACCTAGCGAGGAACGCAAATTCATCACTTAATTTATAAAAAGGTGTTTACAACAACAGCATTTCACTTTGGTTCACTCTGGTTTTGTAAACTAAGTTCCAACTACAAACAGGTTATTAACATGGGATACGACTGACCTACTGCCATTAGCATTTGTCTAGTGAGGATGTTTTTATCCACATAAATAACTGCTAAACAGACACAGTTTTAAAGCAGCAATTAACTACTGCAGTGCAATCAAGTGCCTTACCTTGCTGGGCAAATCCAGTCCATATCAAGCAACAGAGGATGCCAGCACATGTGAGCAATTTGAAATTAGTCTGCAAGACAAAACCAGAAACCAAACTGGATGATTTACTCTAATGAGTAAAGGCAAAAAAAAAAAATTAAAAAAAATCACCAAGCTGCGGACATATAACTGTGTTTCAGAGGAGACAAGGAACATGGAATAAATGCAAATCCAATTATCTTAGTTGTACCAGCTGCTTTGCCCTAATACAAACCATGTTTTTGAGCTACACTGTATTTGGAAGACACCAAACAGGGTAGCTTCTTAAATCATTTTGATATGCTCTTCTGCTAGGTAAACAAGCAAGGTGTGAGAAATTCGGAAACATTGTTCACTTGGGGGGAAGAACCCAGACCAATCTTTTAACACCTTATAAAAAAGTATTTATGCTCTGAACGTGATGAGAGAGGCTTCTAAATAAAGATACCACAGCAATACAGGACGGAAACAGAGCTTCTATACCCACATCTCTGTTTCAAGATAAACACCAAGGCCCTTTACAAAACATTTTCTTCGGAATCTTCAAAGGGCATTTTACTGATTAACTTTGCACTTTATACAGCAAACTAGAAATTTCCTCTCAAAATATGCACCATAAAGTCTAGCCCTATTTTCTCTTTAAACAACAGAAAATTAATGGATACCACACATATAAAAGAAAAAAACACTTTGTTCAGTGCTGTAAGTATTAATGAAAAGCTAATTTTTTTTCTACCTTAATAGCAGGTAGTCAGCCAAGGTCAGTTTTAAATTCTGAGACTATTTTAAATTCTATTTCTCTTTTATTCATTATAAGAATTCTGAGAACTTAGATGATAACAGCCAGTTTCCTTGAACACCCTAAAACGTTGTTGCTAATTAAAGCCTCTCCAGTCATCCTGGAAACAAAAGTATTCTTAATAACTTTTTGTTCTGGAAAATATCTTGCAGTATAGCCAAGGAAAAGTGAATTTGGCAGAATCCCTCGACTGAAGGTGTCATTTTTCTACAAGATGTACTTTTTCTCCTATAAATTAGCAACAAAGTAAGTAATGCTCAAATTAGTACAGCAGTTGAGCTTTGGTTTTTGCAGTGAAACACAGTTGTTACTTTGCACATTCAGCCAGACCCATCAGAGAAGGATGGCTGCTCCAAAATCTGATGGGGAAAGTTTCAAACAGAAGCCAGCCCTTTGCTAACAAATTGTATCCAACAACAGTAGATGGCTCATATTTTTCTGATAAATCATTTTGGCTCACTTTTTTAGTGGATGCTATGGTGAGAGGACAGACAGTGGAATTCAGACACAGGAGAATTAAGAGAATATGCTGTTGAACTACTTTGATAGATGTTATACATAAACAGGAAAGAAATTACTAGTTAAAAAAGAGGAGAAAATTGAACTGTGAATTATATCTTACTTAACTTTTGAACACTAGTTACTGCATATATACAACTCAACTTTGCACACTGCTGCAAGTGACCAGTCCTTCATTCACAAAAACTCTCATCCATGAACACTTTTATTAAGTCCCTTTATAAGTGATCACCTAAATTCCACCTGTTCAACCACAAACCTTGATCAGAGGGGAACGGTGACCCAAGGAATGCAAGCAGGTGGAAGACAGATGAAGGGACTGAACCAAGGCTTGGAAAGACAGTGGTTACATGGTTAGGAGCTCACCTACCAGAGCCAGGAGTCTGGACAGCAAGTCCTAACCGGGTTGCTCAACTTTTAGGTTCTTCTTTCCTGGTTTTATGTAGGTGTGTTGTGTTCAGCAAATCTTGCTTCCCTCAAGTGAAAGGATATTTTGTTACTCGAGAAGCATTTTTGCTTTTAGTACAGCCCAGAATGGGGTGGGCTTTTCAATAAGAAAAAAGCCAAGCTGCTGACACCAGGTGAGTACCAGCTTTTCTGACAGCCTAGACGACAGAATTATAAACAGTTCACCTTTTTAGGGCAGACTAAGAGTGGATGCACAGCAAGTCCACACAGATTATATAAATAAGTCAGCAAAGATGTGACACAGTGCTAAAGCTATGATTAAGACCATTTGGAAGAGAAACGTTCCGCTGGAAATGCATCCGCATGATGAACGCAGTTCTGGGCACAGAGTGCCGGTAAAGTTAACAAGGAAAATGTCCTTTCCCATATATGGCCGCGCCAATGCCTCTCCCGGAGCCAAGCACACAGCTCGCTTCCTTTGCCTCCACTGCCTAACAGCTTTTCCAGCTGCCGAGCGCTGGGAAAACACAGCAGAGATCCGCTGGTCTGGATTCAGCTCTGAGTGCTGCCCCAATGCAAGCAAAGCCATGCACACCCTCACCCTCCGACCCTCCTACCGATGGAAGGCATTCCCCTGCAGTCCCCAGTCACCACCGGGAACTGCCCCTCCTGCAGATTTTTCCATTGAGGGAATAAACCTAAACAAATAACTCCCGAGTACACTGGATGGCCAAAGGAAGCCTTTGGAAACCCTCCGTGGAGCTACAACTAAATGTCGTGTCAGTGTTCAACTACAGGTGACTGCACAGAAAAAAACCAAACAATTTTACAAGAAATAAATTAATATTTTTTATGCAACATTTAACTACTTTCTATTAGACTTGCTCTCCCCCTTCTAAATCCTTGAAAAATATTCCGGAATCCTTGAAAAAGTGGCTTTTTTTCTTCCTGAAAAAAAAGCAACTCAAAGCCAAGAGACTGAAATCTCTTTAATAAATGTATCACCACTTGGATCCTTTCTAAAAGGCTGCAAATGGTGTGCTGTTAAAAAACTGATTTTAAAATTATTTCCGCACATTTGTGAACCATACTCTATTTTTGTTAAATATTTTAGAAAAACAAACATGGACATAACCTTAAATATTTAGATTCAATGTTTTCCAAGTTGTTTCTTTTGCTGTCTCAACAAACAGTAACGATTGAAGAAAATTTTTTATTTATAAAGTCAGCTTTGATGGAAATCTCTGGAGCTTTTAATTTGAAATGAGAGACTCATTAAATGACAACAGAAAGAAGGAAGGATTATTTCTCCATAGAATTTTGAATTTGTAAATTAAGTATTTAGAACCTTCACATTCTGTTAATCATCAGGATATTTCGAAATTAGCCAGTCCACAGTACTGAAGACTTTTAAAATTTATTTCTTAGAATGGCAATAGCATCCCTGCAGAAAATGAACTGGGCAAATGAGATCAAGGAAGAAAGGTTAGTTATAGACACATTTATTCCTTTGAAATTAAATACTGATTGCTATGCTGCTCTCCTCTCATCACTCAGCACTGCCACAGGCCACAGTTTATACAGATATTAGGCCAATATTAACAACAACGTGTGAGGTTCCTGCAGTATTAATCCCCTCACACAGTAATGCAGTATCCACCAAGCTGATGGCAAGCACAGGCAAATATTACATGGCATGTGCCCCACTGCATTCTGAACTGTGCCTTAGTGCAAAGCCTTCCACTGAAACACACAACCAGACCAGGCAGGAAACATTTCCGTGTGCAGTAAGAGCTGAGCTGTTTGTGAGATGCCGCCTTTCTGAGGCAGTATCCAGACAGCCAACTTACTCATATCCCCACACACCACTCCAATTGCACTTATAAAGCTAGAAATGAATAAACAACTCACACTTTTGGACTCACATTTGTGCTTCCCGCAGCCCGACACCTCTTAGCATGAGCTGTATTTTCATGGGTTTAAATCTTGGCTCAGAAATGCTGCATGGAATTGATTCCTCCTAGAGGCGCTATCAGGTTTACAGCCACTTTCGTGTAGTGCAAGGATGGAAAGCCACTTAAAAGAGCTGCCCCATCCTCCTTGTTGATTATTCGCTCTTGTTAATCAACCTCCTGGCTGATTATTCTTACTGCTTTCCTTTTTGATCAATGTCAGCATTACTGTGGCCACCAGGAGGGCTGGAGCAAGAAAAGATCTGTCTGAAACTAATCCAACAAAGAAAGCGTCTTGTTTCTTCCACCTGGGTACAAAATCACTTATGCTGGTGTGGCAGAAGTGGTGAGATGATGGAGAAAAAGAGAACTTGGAGGGCGTGGGAAGCAAAAGCTCCTGCTGCTGAGCCACAGCAGTGGTTGTGTGCTGGACTACACTGGACACTCAGCCAAGCCCCCACCCCCAGGCATGAAGACTCTGGTTAAAAAAGGAGCAGGAAGAGACACGTTTCTAAAATAAGCAGAACGAAATAGTCTCTGGAGATGTCTGTTTCAGAACTCGATGGCTACCCTGCTAAAAAACAGTTCCTTCTTCCCTCTCTCCAGAAGGTTTCCTGGCATTAGCTGAGAGCCATACTTTTCAGTGTGAATTTTACTGACTAGCAGAATGAATCCCATTCACATTTCTGAAAAAAAAGTGGGGGGAAAAAATGGACTGAAGAACCAAACAACCTTAGTGACATGGGACAGTAATTGCACAGACACTACAAACCTCTAGCAATGACCTGCAAATACTCTTGACAGCAGAACTCCCACAACAGATATCATTAATTAAAATCCCCAAGCTGCCTGCACATTAAATTACTCTAAACGTATCTACTTGTACAATTATTCATTGTAAAGAAGCAATTCACTATAAAAGAAAGCAGTAAAATGGTATCTTACTGTTCTGTTTTGAGAGAAGCATATTGCTGAGTAAGGTAGCAGTACAAAAAAAAGTTTACACGAAGGAGCTACTTAATTTTGATTAAAGCTTTCAAGTTTGTGGTATAGATTTTCCTACAAATCTTAAATTGGTAATACTTCATTTATGACCTTAAAAGCTACCTTATTTACTTAATCAGTGTTACTGTGATACTGAAGTATAGTTGGAATACACTGCATGGTAAATTCCAGGATCACCATTAAGAAATTATGTGATGCATTCTCCATTAAAAGCAGAGATTTGGGACAAACACTGGTGCTTGAACTGTGAGCAATTTTAATCAAAGAACCCAGTCCTAAACTCAGCCTGCAAAACTATTTGTTCCCTGGATGCAGACCAGCCCTGTGATGGCTGCCCTTCACAGAGGCCCAGCTCCTGACTTTGCATCA